TGGGCGGTTAGAAAATTTTACTACTAACAGAGATACAAAAGTGGGCGGTAGGTATAAAAAGGTTGACTACCCCTGACTTATATCAACGTTTCTCAATCTTGGCTACTTTAAGTTTGTAGTCTTCATAGACATTGTCCACACATCTTAAAGTTGCTGTGGTTGAGAAACATTGATCTATACTATTGATTAGCTGGAAAGCAACACATATACGTGTTAACCCACTGAAGCAACTCTAATGTTTATAGACCTCTTAGTTTATGAACTAGTTTTAGAATACTGTCCAGTCATGCAGAGCCCTTTACCAATAGGCAGATACTATGTTTTTTAGGAAATTGTTTTTTTTAACAGTCAGGGAAGGCAGCTTAGCTACTTTATCTACACCAGCGATTATATTTTCAACAATGTGGCTTGGATTGTCTCCCTTCGCTACTGAGTGCTGTAAACCTGCAGTGGCCTCCTGGGTCTGACCTTATGCTCCTGCTCCTTTCAAGGATGAATTCTTCAGGGAAACCATGACAGGTAGACAGAAAATAGTCCCTCAGAGTGTACTGCTTCCCTTTTACTGAAGATTAATAAATAGAAGCCAAAGATGTTAGCAAAAAAAACCATAACAATATAAGATCAAAGAAAACTGAAGAATAAGACAGCTTATAAGGTTGAGAAGAAGGTAAAATATTTAGGTATAATTATGATAAACATGAATAATTTGTTATTTCAAAATAACTTTATTATGACATGAAATGTCATAATAAAGTAAAACAAGATACATTAAAATGGGACGTTAGTGGTTAAAATGATTTTTTTTTAACCTAGAATGTTATTTTTGTTTCAGACAATACCTATTTTGACAACTGAGATACCGTTTAAACACTGCCAAGGATATATCTAAATTTATATGCCAGGGCAAAAAATATGTGCTGCTACAAGGTGTAAAAGAAAGAGGAGGATTGGATCTACCACATCTGAAATTATGTTTTGCATTCTGTTGTTCTGCTTGGATGAGAGTGGGAGATTGTTAACAAATAGAAGACTATTTGAATTAGAAGGACAGGATCTGAGATTTGGGTGGCATGAATATTTACTCTCAGATAATGTAGATTTTAAATATGAGTGGTGTGGTGGCCTAGTAGTGAAGACCCTCGACTCTCTCTCAGAAAGTTTTGAGTTCAATTCTAGGGAGTCGCAGATGTTTCTATCCTAGGGTGCAAAGAAAAAATATCTGCTGCAAACTCCACATAGGCATCAGGAAGGGGATCTGGTCAAATAAATGCCCAGCTCCATCCATTCGCCTCGACTCTGCCCCAAATTAAGGGATTACAGCAGGGATGAAATCCAGCAGGTTCTGACAGGTTCTGGAGAACTGGTAGCGGAAATTTTGAGTAGTTCGGAGAACCGGCAAATGGCACCTTTGGCTGGCCGCAGAGTGGGATGGGAATGGATATTTTGCAGTATCCTTCCCCTGGAATGGAGTGGGAATAGAGATTTTGCAGTATCCTTTCCCTGCCCACCAAGCCATGCCCACCAAGCCACACCATGCCCACCAAGCCATACCAACAGAACCGGTAGTAAAAAAATTTGAATTTCACCACTGGATTACAGGGTTGTAAAAAGGGAGTAATGTAGATGTTAAAAATCATTATGTTAGGCGGGCCATTCAGAGTATGGAATAAATATAAATTTTGATTCTGCCTGAAAATACCCTTGTGGCTCAGTGCAAAAAGCATTTTAAAGACAAGACAGAATAAATAAACATAAATGGCTAACTTATTGTAATTTGCTCAAGGGGATTGTAAAATAAAAATCAAAAGAAAATTTGACAATAGAAGAATGTCCTTGTGGTTTTCTTATGCAAGATTACCAGAACGATTTAAAGTAGATAAAATATTTTATGGACAACATAAGAGGGAGTTTGTAATAGTACTAATGATACGATATTGCTAAAATGTGTAAGCCCTTGTTGAAACTTGAGCCACAAGAAGAACAAGTGGAAGAATCTATATACTAAAACGCTGTGTCCTGCAATCTTTAATTGAGCAAAACAGTGAGTCATAGGGCAAAATGTTTTGAACCAATGTAGCTCGGTTGGATTAATTTACATAATGCATCTAAAATCCAGGAGCCATGACTCCTGTGGAATTGAAATATGGGAAAAATTATAAAACAGGTTATAACATAAAAAAATATACTAAAACATACTTTCCCACTGAACCTTGGTAACAGGTCTAGAGGGTTAATTGTAGCTATTTTTTTCCAAAATCACATGCCACATATCAGCAATTGTGCTCTGGAATGGAGAGTTTCCTCATATATTCCCGCTCATTAGATCTGATGTGTAACAGCATTCCATCCATTCCACGTGTTTTTGTCTTGACCATGTATGGAGAGAGGGGGGGAGGGAGAGAGAGGGGGGGCAGGCAGGCAGGCAGGCAGGCAGGCTTGATAAATGGACAGAAAAGTGTCCCTTGTACTACTCATACTCTACCAAGCACATATGGAGTTTATTCAAATACTGTTCCAGCACTGTGAACAGCTCCCAAGTACTAAGCAGAGAAGTACTGTATTTCCATTACTGTAGCTTTTTTACACCTGCAACTGGATGAGGAAAAAAAAAACAGAAAAGCAAAATCATTTAATTACATATGTCTTCTTGAATAACTGTTATTTTAGGTGGTAGTGCAGAGAAAAAGGTTTAGGTTAGACAAATAACACACCACTACCAGATCTTTAGTACGTAGCTGATTGTCTTGTCTGGGGAATGCCCAATTCTGGATGACCTCTAGATTTCTCAGTGTCTTGATGCTGCCATCTGTTTAACTTGATTTGTGCAATCCAGATAAGGTAATGTTACTTTTGTTATCCTCTTTGATTTGAAGGTGGTGCAAGAAAAAAGGATATACTGTACACAGTTCTAAAATAAAATGAGGTAGGATACACTGTAATGGGCATCTTGAGAAATAGTAAGAAGAGCTGCTACCAAGAGGACACAGAGATGTTTGAGAAAAGAAATTTGAGTTTAAGTTAGGACTGTAATCCAAGTAAGCATCTCAGATAAATCCTTCCTTAATTGTCATGAAGATAAAGGAAGAGAGGAAAGGACACATTCTGACTTGCAAGATTCTGTTACTGGAAAAAAAAGTAATATTAGCTATCATGATTTTGGTTTCTGTCAGGCCCTAAGAGTCAAGAACAACCTGTTATTTAAGAGTATTTTCCTTTATTGTTCTTCAGCTACAGACAGAATCTTGCTTGATTAAAACAACTATATGCACAACCACAGATATATTCTGGGAACAGCTAGGGAGGAACTGTTTTAATCTTATTCATCTGGACCACACTTTCCTTCCTCCTGGGAATCCAGACTACATTCCACTACCTTTTTTCTAGTCTGGTCTACCTTGAATGACTGATGCACACATGTACATCATGGTTCTGCTTGTCTGCAGACATTTACTGGCATTCATCTTAATCACCAACTTCCCCTCTATTACCAGTCTTGAAGATAAAGAATACAGCCTAGGAATATTTATTATCAGATAGTAATATTTAAGATATAAGCCATCCATAGCAATTGCAATGGCAGTGTGGAAGTTATAGTCAATACCAAAATGAGTTTTGGTAATTAAAAAGATGTTTTCCAAAACAGTTAATTTTTAAATAGAGCCCATATGTGTATACTAAGATATAAAGTCCATTGAACATGATGGCAGTTTCTTATACAGTGTGTATGCCAGGGTTCCAAATAGAGTCCAAGGCAAAATATTGCTCAAAGTTCCAATTTATTAAGAGAGCCATGTTCGCACATCTGGGAAAACCTGAATCTGAAAGCTTCTCGGTTTTCCCCAACCAGTTGAAAGTTCAAGATCTTGCCCTCATGCCTACAAGTCCATCACATGGTCCAATCGTCCACTGCCATACTGGCAGTTCCACCCATCCAGTTCCGGTTAGGTGCAGAGACAAAAGATGACCTTGGCTTTCTAGAAATAATTTTGTTGTGGCTACATAGCATGCGACTCCTTACAATCCCCCCTCCCATTTTCCCATAATAGAAAATGCATAGCAGAATAATAGAAAGTATGGCAGGCCAAAGACCCCCCAAAAAAGATGGCTGCAGGCGTGTGTACACATATACATATGTGTGTGTATGTGTATAGATGATTAGGTAGGTAGGTAGGTAGGTAGGTAGGTAGNGATAGATAGATAGATAGATAGATAGATAGATAGATAGATAGATAGATAGATAGATAGATAGATAGATAGATAGATAGATAGAACATATATTGTCACAACAGATTAATTATATCTTAATTAACTTGATTAGGAATTAATTCAGTTTCCAGATGGATTTTTTCTTGCAGCCTGCATCTAGCTAACCTGAGCTAGTATTAAGACTTTTATCCTCTATTTCTGATTAAAACCATGGGACTTCTAACAATATTTTAAGGCTGTATTTCCGTGAACAAAGAGAGAGATGAAAGTTTGCTTGCAAAATATTTGCTCTGTTTCTCTGTGATTTAAAGGCGCAATTCAAAGCAGGAATGCTAATAAAAGAAGAAAGAAAATTACCTAGCCTGGACTTGCATTATTTGCTTCCTTACTCTTGTGCCTTTCCTCTGATCTACAAGCCTTCGGGTGGACTTATGACTGTGTATACCAGTTAAAATACTATTGTTGCAAATTGTTAGCCTGCACTGTCAGGCACTGAATACTAAAGAAGAATCCAAATCAAAGTCAGCTTGGCATCCTTCGCCTCCCTTTAAGAATCTCTCCTTAGGACAAGTAAGATAATTGACTCCATCAGAGTCTGCTTCACGTCTCTATAAAACAGAGATTCAGATCTCCTTTTAAAAAACCTCCACAAAAGTCCACATTCTGGATAGAGTGGACCTCTGGTTTGAAAGAGGACCCCTTATGTTAAAATTGAATAACCCTCTTTCAACAGATGGGGAGGGGGTACAATACCACCTATCCCATGTCTACAACACATTCAGCAGTCCTAAGAATGTTTCACACCCATTTCCATGCTCACTCTGATTCAGGTGATCCTGAAGCAGTGGTGGGATTCAATTTTTTTTTACTATCGGTTCTGTGTGTATGGCTTGGTGGGCGTGGCATGGCTTGGTGGGCATGGCAGGGGAAGGATACTGTAAAATCTCCATTCCCTCCCCACTCCAGGAGAAGGTTACTGCAAAATCCCCATTTCCTCCTGGTTAGCTGGGACTGGGAAGGCAGAGTTTAGATGGAGGCAAAGCCAATCAGAGGTGGTATTTACTGGTTCTCCGAACTACTTAAAATTTCCGCTACCAGTTCTCCAGAACTGGTGAGAACCTGCTGAATACCACCTCTGCCCTGAAGGTACAGATAAACCCCAGTGAGTGACCTCAATAATTTTCAGAAAGAGAGCTAATAACCAGATGACTGCTAGGAATATAAATCCTTCCATTCCCCACCATTTAGTCCAAACTGAAGAAGCTTCTTGGATGAGAAGCAAAATGTCTTCAAGGAAAAACAAAGGAAGTCTAGGTGTCTGTTTGGGGACAAACATTGCCTGGATGACTAAAACTTGTCACAGACAAATCCCCACAAAACTACCCTGTATATTAAACAAAAAGTGCTGTCAACCTTCTGCACTTTAGTCATTTCTGAACTCCAGATGGAAGATGTTTTAGTTACGTTTAGGAAAATGATGTCCTCCTGACCCTGTACTGTGATACAGGTCCTTGCTTAACAACAGTAATTGGGACCAACAACTCCAACATTAAGCCTTGTCATAAAGTCCAATTGCGAACTTTATAATTGTGTCATCTGATGACTGCAGTTGCAGCAGTGCAAGTTATTCATAAGCAAACCCTGCGGAGTTGTTAAATGTGATATCATATGATTGTGATCACTATTTGTGACCTGCTGGTCAACTTTGCTTGTTGGAAGCTGGCAGGGAAAGTTACAAAGCACAACCATGTGACTGCAGGATGTTGTGACTGTCATAATTGTGAGCCAGTTGCCAAGCACCTGAATTGCAATCACAGAGACTACAAGTACCTGTCATAAGTCTCCTTATTCAGTGCCATCATAACTTTGACTGGCCGCTGAATTTAATTATTAGGGGATTAGGTGATTAATTTGAGTGAATTTGAATTGTTAAGAGAGGACTATCTACATTGTGGAATTATAGGGATTCTGTATTTTGTTAGTTGCTTTAATCCGATTTAGGAAGGTGGCACTAGTATGCCTCTAAGAGTTGAATCTGATGGAAGCAATCTATAACCCTTGTAACATAATGAAAAGAACAAATAAATACCTTGAGAACGGGCCCCAATCTAAACAAAAATGTGAACCATAGTTGCAGAACATGTAGACATGTCGATGGAGATTCTCAGTCATCGAGTTCATGGTTGTCTTTTTCCTGTTGAGAGTGGGCTAAGACAACTAAGTCCATATTTTAGACAGAGAAGATCGCTGGTTTGGAAGAGGGGTTAAAGAAGCCATTTATGTCAAAATGGAATAGCCTTCTCTCAACAGAGGAGGAGGGATGCGACATCATCTATCTCCAGTCTACAACACAAGTCCTTTCAACAGTTCCAAGAAGGCTCCATACCCATTTGCACCACTCAGGTGACCCTGATGACCCAGTTAAACCTCCAGGTGACCTTAACAACCTTCTAAAAGCATGCAAATGACCCGTATGTCTGCAAGGAGTATAAATCCTTCCATTCCCCACCATCCAGTTAGAGCGGAAGAACCTTCTTGGATGAAAAGCGAAACTTCTTCAAAGAAAAACCAGAAAGTCCAGTTGCCTCTTGAAAAAAGCACCTTTGGAAAAAGCACATAGGCACTTTTTTTTTCTTGTACTGGTATTACATATCCAGTCATCTGTGTAACGATAATCCAAACAATCTACTTTCTTTTGGTTTAAGCTCTTATCACTCACTTTGTTGTACAAGTTGTTTGAGTGCAATCGTTTCTTGTTCACTGTGGAAAATAAGTGCATCGTGGTGTCAAGATTTGATGGTATCTGTTTACAAACGTGGAGGGTAATTATACTCCCTGGTCTTAATAGCTTCTCTTATTGATGCTCTGCTGACATGTTTTTAAACAGTATTTGGTGATTGTAAATACTTAATGGTACCGATTCCCCACTCATTATCATATGTTTGCATTTGATTTGCCTGATTGCTGCAGGTGGAGACAATAGGGGATGCATACTGCGTGGCGGCTGGGCTACACAGGCAGAACCTGAATCATGCAAAGGCAATTGCCCTCATGGCCCTGAAGATGATGGAGCTGTCAGAGGAGGTGCTCACACCAGATGGAAGACCAATTAAGGTACCTTCTTTTCTATATATTTACAGCAGTTTGACAATCGAAAAGAGCAGCCTATGCTTGCTAACATAATGAATAATGTATCTAAAGTTAACAGTCTTTGTAGAAAAGGTGAGTGGTAGGATGAGCATGATGGTCCAAGATAATATCCCACTTAATTACTTACTCGGGCATTGGTAAGGCATTGGCAAAGGGTTGAGAAGAGCCACGGTGGCCCAATGGTTAGAATATAGTACTTGCAGGCTACTTCGGCTGACTGCCGGCTGCCAGCAATTCAGCAGTTCGATTCTCACTTGCTCAAAGTTGACTCAGCCTTCCATCCTTCTGAGGTAAGTAAAATGAGGACCCAGATTGTTGGGGACAATATGCTGACTCTGTAAACCACTTAGAGAGGGCTGCAAAGCTCTGTGAAGTGGTATATTAGTCTAAGTGCTAGTGCTAGAAACCAGTTATGCTTTCCTTGTGGACTTCTGATTGTCTGCTGTGGAAATAGTTGGAGTCCATCATACTGTTTTATCTTCCTAGACCCATCATCCATAGGCAACATGTAGCTTCTCAGTTATCTTTTGGTTTGGTAATTGGAGTATTCTGAGATTCAGATCTTCAGAAGCAAATTATCAGATAAACAAAGCCCTGATTTCCCCATTGTGTCTATATTTATGGAGAAGTTACAGCCCAAGGCTAGAAACCAGGAGACTGTGAGTTCTAATCTCACCTTAGGTATGAAAGATATCTGGGTGACTACACTCTCTCAGCCCAACTCACAGGATTGATGTTGTGGAGAAAATAGGAAAAGGAAGCAGTATTAGGTATGTTCATTGCCTTGAGTTATCTATAAAAATAAGGATGGGATAAAATAAAATTAAAAAGAGGAGATCAAGCCTCCGGTAAACTTAATGCGCTTAGTTTGCTTCAAGCTCATTGCACTGGAAGAGAAATGGCCAAAATTCTGGCAAGCTTTAGGATTGATATCTTTGATTGAAGATTTGTTGTTTCACATGCAATCTTAGATGAGAAATATGTACTTCAAATTCATGTTGGCAACGTGCACAGCATAAAGGGTCATTTTGGCATACCTGGTGGATTTGTAAAAAAAAAAACAAGAAATTTTAAAGATCAGCATTTAACTGAAATCAATTTTTTTTTCTGGCTGGGATTAATGGGCATTGTATTAGACAATAGACATGGAAGTGTTTTTTTTATATATACATGATTACTCAAGTGACATTATATGTGCAAAATAGAAAAACTCTGAAAGACAATGAAGAATAGTTGGTGAAGTTGACAGAACTAGCAGAAATGACAAGATGAACATGTTCGATTAGAGAAAGATCAACAGCTACATTTAGTAATGATTGAAAACTCCTTGTAGTTATTTTTTTACTGAAAAAGAGAAAAATGGACTTGTGATTTATGAGTTTGAATATTAGAAAGGGTAACTTATGGAAAGAAGGAAATTATGATGTAACCATACAGAGGCAGGGCAAAGCAAAAATTTATACCTGTTGTCACAAAGATCAGAAGCTGGTTCTTTATAATCTTACTTCTTATTTTTCTCACCGGCTCAGGGTTGACTCAGCCTTCCATCCTTCCGAGGTGGGTAAAATGAGGACCCGGATTGTTGTTGGGGGCGATATGCTGACTCTGTA